CCCCCCCCAAAAAAAAATAAAATAAAATAAAAAAAAATATGGTCACAGCCAATGGCAATTTTAAGAATGAAAATTTGTTTTTAAAACCGAATATTATTTTCATATATGCGAAACTAGAATATACTACATGTCTGGTGCCAACTTTTTAATCTGATCAAGAAATATTTTCCAAATTGCATTGACATCTTTGTGTATACACATAATATGTAGCTAGGCAACACATATTTGACTGACCAGGAAAAATAAAACTTCCAACTAAATATATATTTATTTTTAATTTTTGTGGGATTGGTAACGTAAAATACAGCTAATATTTACGTGCGAAATAATAATAAAAATATTTTTAGTTAATTTAATTGAGATATTTGCACATTATGTTCACGAATGTGTATCCAGTATTTGTTCTGAAAGTTATCTGTAAAGCCAAAACAACATAAAGCACAGTCATTCCAAAGTCAAAATCCAGTTCATTAGTACATGTATTCCAGGGTATTTGTTTCATCGGTCGGTTTATTATTTTTTTGTTGGTGCAGGTTAATTTAGTGTATAACTTTGTATATAGGTTAATATTATAGTACTGGGAGACAGGAACTTGACTTCTTAATTTATTTTTCTGTAGACGATGAAACATTGTCCGGGAAACTCAGAACCGCAACAGCAAATGGATTGGCAACAAATACACAAAGCTACCATAACCACCCGCACATCCTTCGGATATCGAATGTACTCAAAGTACCCACTGATGTATTATGGCACTCCATACTAAGTCCAGAGTCCAGTGATATTGCAAGTCGCGGCAGCATGCTGGGTGCAATACAGCACGAAGCTGCAATCACCAATATACCGCGGCGATGGAGTTCAATACTTCACGTATTAGCTTATAGTACCGTGTTACAGGTAGAAATCATGTCGGTATATCCAGCAATTGACACTTTTGCGTATAGGAAACTATTACATGCGAACATCCAGCCCCTAACAAACGAGTCTCTCCAGAGAATGTTTGAAATCCCAAAGTCCAGGCCTCTGGTAATTATGTGGACTCGTGATGCAGCAATAGACAATACACCGGGGTAAATTTTCACACCAAACCATGTTGTACCCTTAGTACAAAGAGACGTCCCCAGGCCAAAGCGAAAACCAAAACAACAGACAAGAATGAGTAGCTTTTTTAGTGCTCCGAAATCTGACGACACACACAGAGGTGGTCGTGCTGATATAACAGTGGACATTTCTCCCCCGCCACCAATGGACACGTCCCACCCGCCACCAGTGAACCCTCCTCCCCCGCCACCGCTGAACACGTCCCACCTGTCAGCGATGAACACGTCTTCTGCCACGCCACAAACAGTTCCAGACACACAGACATTAATCAAAGACATGAACGACCTTAATAAGAAATCCGGAGTGACAAAGGAGAACAAATTATGGTTAATTGAACATCGTCAGCCAGAGGTAAATTTCAAGTTTCCCTTCCGACAATATAAGGATCCAAGAGGGAAGGGGGTCATTAAAAACCGGTATTGTGCCAAAGAATGGTCCCAAACATACGATTTTCTCAGTTATTCAAAATCCACAGATGGGTTGTTTTGTCTTTGTTGTGTACTCTTCCCATGTGAACCTAGTCGTGGACAACGGGCAATGATTTGATTACAACACCGTATCGAAATTGGAAGGATGTGAGGAAAGACCTGAATACACACTCGTGTCTGCAGTACCATCTTCATTCGAAGGCACTACTGGATGGCTTCATTGCCTGCATGAACAACCCTTCGTTGATAATTGAAAATAGGCTTTCTGATTTGCAACAAAAAACATTTCAGAAGAATAGACTGTTCCTAACATCTATTATTAAATGTATTGAACTGTGTGGCCGTCAATGTATAGCTCTTAGGGGTCACAGGGATGATTCCGTTACCTCAGAAACGGTCAACCAAGGGAACTTCAAAGCAATTCTACGCTTTCGTGTCGACTCTGGGGATACTGATTTGCAGGACCATTTGTCGCAGTGCAATAGAAACTCGTCATATATATCAAAAACCGCACAAAACGATATCCTTAGTTGTATAAAAAGGCACATTCAAAATGTTATCGTAAAAGAAATACATGAAGAAGTTGGATTCTACGGAATTGAAGCAGACGAGGTAACTGACACCTCAAACTTGTTTGTTTGTTTGTTTGTTTATGTTTAACGGCCCATCGACGGCTGTGGTCATTTAGGGCCATGGTGATTTATTTATTCACTTTACTTTTTTAACAAACATGTGAATAGCGAAGATAAAATCAGATAAAATGGTTCATTTTAAAAGTATTCGCATTGTATGTGTAGATAATTAAAAATAATAAAAGGGGGTTAAAATAATAAAAGAGATAACGAATAGATGATATGGAATATGCGATATATATATAACGTCAAAAAGGATAAGGTGGGTTAAAAGACATCAGAGTCTATAAAATAGACCGATGTCTTTCAAATAGTTAAATAATGCCTTCGAATCCACGGAACTGAAAAGTGTTTTCATATCCGGGACTCGGAAGTAGTTATCACGAATGTGTTTAAAATCGGAACATTCTATTAAAAAATGCTCCACTGTAAATGGAGTGTCACATGCGTGGCATGAAGGTATATCTTCTCGTTTTAAAAGGTACGAATGAGTAGGATATGTGTGCCCAGTGCGGAGCCGAGCGAGGACAACTTCCTCTCTACGATCTTTCCGACTGGGAATAGATGTTTTAAGTTTCGGTTGTATCTTAAAAAGTTTGTTGTTGGTCTCCAGAGACCAGCGTTTCTGCCATTCATTTTGAATGGCTGTACGAATAGTAGGTTTAAAATCTGTGTATGGTAGTTTGATATTTGTTTGTTCGAGATTCAATGCATTTTTTGCTTCCCTGTCAGCAAATTCGTTGCCTTTTATTCCGACATGGCTCGGAATCCATAGTAAAGTTATTTTAGACTTTTTTAATATACGAGATATTCGAAGAGCAAGGTTTTGTACGATTGTGTTTTTAGGATCTCGTAACTGTAAACTCTGTAGGACAGATAGAGAGTCTGAACAAATAATTGCCTTTTTAATGCGGTGTTCATCGATATGGTCGAGGGCCAAACCAATGGCGCATGCTTCAGCAGAAAAGATGGAGGCGCCGTCTGGTAGTCGGACTGAAGTGCAAGTATTGGCAGTACAGCAGGCTGCTGCCACTTTCTCACCTTCTTTGGAGCCATCGGTGTAAAGTTGTGTATGAGAAGGGTAATTCGAAATGCATTCCCGAAAGGAGGATTTGTGTTCTTCGGGCATAACACTTGATTTCCCTCGCTCATGTAATGTAAAGTTAAAATCAGGGGTTTGAATGGTCCACGGAGGAACATCAGATATGTTAAATTCAGCTATGTCCGTCAATTTTATGTTGAGTTCTTGCAGGAAATTCAAAATTCGGATACCAAATGTTGGCAGAAGTTTTTGGTTTTGCGTAAATATGTTTTGGTATTTGGGGTTGAATACTTGGTTGAAAGCAGGATTTTTAGGGTTTGATTTTAATTGAGCTGCAAATTGTAATGAACGTTTATTTCTTC